CGGCTGGAGTAGGCATTTCTTGGAAAATCTCTGGTGAAAAATTCAAGATATTCAAATGGTCTGTTGTAACAGGAGCAACTGATGGTGCTGAGAGTACTCTGTACTCTCTTTCATCTCTCTGTAACTCCCACTCTTTTCCTTACAGAAAGTATTAAAAACGTAAATTAACAACATTAACAGGAGGTAAATTAATGGGAGATCAATTACGGTTATGTAAAAAAATGTAAGAAAATCTTACGGATATGTTTTTTCCTCAGCAGCTGCATTCTTGGGTAAACATTCAGTCATTGTTCCTGCCCATTAATACATTTACCTCCTCCTCCACACAGGTTTTTCTAGAGTTTCATATGTCACTGAGGCCAAAGGCAAAGTCTTAAACAAGTCTCTGCTTCCTGCCATCCTACACCTGTAAGACGTGAATGCCATAATGTTCAATTTTGGTAATATCAAAATCTCTCTCACTTGTTAATTTTAACTCCGAATTGCCTTAATTTGCAACTGCTGGGAAAGAAGGAGTGCTCTTGAAATTAAGAAATTAATTTTAAAAATAAGATTTTTTTTTTAAAATCACCAATAATTTTGTAAAATACATTCTCAGCTTCAGGGAAGTTTTTATCTGCATGTTAAGTAGGACTTTCAGCAACTCTCAGTGCAAACAGATTTGCTTTGCATTCTCCCTGCTTTGCTGTCTTTGACTTTTCCAAGACTACGTTTTTTGTAATACAACTGCTGCTTTTTAGATTCACTTTCAAAAAGCAAAATTTTAATCTCTTTCTCTGCTAGCCTGTTAATCCCTTTGTGATGAGCTTACTGGTCCTACAAGGACAGAGTTCCCTTTCACACCTGTGCTCGTCTCCAGATAATAGTTTCTTCGCTACTATACTTTAGTATAGTATCAATATAGTATAACTACTATAGTTTATAACCTTAAATTGACTTGAAAATACCCAAAAATCTTTATTATACACAAGAAATTAGTGTCTTATTCCCCTTATGTGGAAAGCACTATGTGTTTAATCAAGCAAACACCCCCATCTGTTCATTTTGTCTTTTTATATGCAAGACACTCACTTTTTCAAGTTTAAAGGACATTTTCCCCCCCATATTTAAAAATGTCATTTTTTTCTATCACAGTAGGCCACCACATCTGGTTTTGACAGCCCTTCATGCAGTCACACTCACCAAGGCTTTGAGCGCACTACAAAGTAATGAGCCTCAGTAAGGGTAATGCAACAACATCTCCTAGATAAACAGAGCAGCTGTTACACACTGCACAATAACTCACAGCAGCCCTGCACATCAGGATTTCTCTTTTACTGCAAGGGTGAATGTTTCCCAGGACCCTGAGGTTATCCACCTGGACCGCAACCAAAGAAAAGCAGGACAATTTAACGTCCCATGCACCTCCAGCACTGAAGTACCACTCTACAGTATGACAGTATTTATGGCCAAGGAAGAACCATATGATTCATCGGAGGGTTTTGTTTGGAGTAGAGAGGATAAAGAGAAAGGTCTCTAAAGGAGTAGTGTAACATCAGTTTCATTCTCCAGATGTAATTTGCACCAAAACGCCTGAATTTCCTTTTAAAATAAAAAAAAAAAAATAAATGCATAGACTGATTAGTTAGAAATGTGCCAAACTTTTTTTTAAAAACTGGTATTAGGACTTAAAGGAGTCATTCAATCTTAACTTGTCTCTTCTTCTATGATTTCTTTGGTATCCTTTTTAAGGTTCATGATAGGGTTGAAACTGGCCATCTGATTTTTTTTTTCTTTTTCTTTAATAAGAATTACCTCTGTTTGGAAACCCCTCTACCCCTTGAATTAGAAGCATATTCTGTAAGTGGTAGAACAGATGCACAAATGGGGTATTTGGACGTGACACAACATTCAAGACAAAAATCATCGCACTCAACTTGAAATGCTACAGAAAATGGACCAAAGACAAAGTGTTGAAGAACTGCCCTGAGTTAGACTAGCTGAGAATTTGACCTGAGGATTAAAATGAGCTATGAGTCATTTTACTGATGTTGAGTACCTCTGGTTCCCACTGAAGTCACTGGAAACTGTGGATGCTCAGAAGCTATAAAAAGTAAACCATTGTCTACTATTATTTTTCATACTTATGCTGCAGGATGATTTGTATCATGAAATGCTACACATTTCCTCAATGTGGCACCTTTCCAGCAACTTTGTCTCTCAGTCTGCTCCCAATTTTATGCCTTTATACACATACATGTTTCTCAGTAGAAGCCAGCATTTAAAAACAATAAAGGAATTCCCCTGGCTGAAGAAACGGAGAAAACTCACATGAGAAATGTGATTACACGTGGGAATGAGGGGTTTCGCATGACTGTGACAACGTATCACGCCGCTGACAGCCTTGAGACTCTGTGCTGTGGCAAACTGAAAAATCTTCAGGCTGCTGCTGACCCGCATTTTCTATTTCAGACCATGAACCCCATCTTTTACAGGGCTATAGTCGATTCAGGCACTTTATCAGCATCCATTTATTACCACCTCCCCAATGTCTCTTCAGTCTTATTACAGGCTCTTCCCTCTCTTAAACTAACTTGACTAAATGTTACTCCTACACACAGCTCCAAGCCCTGAATGTTCAGTTCCAACATGTTTCCCCCCAAAATCAGTAACAGTCTCTAATGCAATAACCAAAACAACACATAATATTCTAATTCAGATGGGATTTGAGGCAACGACATCAGCAGAGCTTGTGCTCCAGATCTCCATTTTATAGTAATTCTTTTCAGCAGCCTGTACTTGGTTTTACCTTGTGCTGCTTTTTTTTTTTTTTTAACTTGAATTACACAATGCCGTATTTTCCTGGACTTTTAAAATAACTTTTACTCAAAATACATCACAAGTAAACAAGACAAAGCAGACAAAGATATCCATAGAACTATGCAAAACAGAAGAGGACAAATCACCTTGTCATCTTCAGATGGACAAAAGATTTTTAGGGCCTATTTGCCGCTCGCTCTTCCATTCACAAACCAGTATAATCCTTATTCTCATCACCACCCTGCTTGCCAGAATACACACTCACTCCTCAGATTACTCCCCAATTCCTGCTCTTACTCTCAGGGTCCCTCTTCCTTTGCAGGCCTGCTCGTACTTTAGAAATGTGACGGGGCATTCCTTTTACCAAGGACTAAGCCCCTCCATGTGGTCCAGGACATACTAAACTCCAGCTCATGGTTAGACTGATGACTCTAGAGACAGGATTCACCTCTCATTAACTGCACAGTCTAGGAGTAAGGTGTCTCAGGTACATGTCTTACATGTGTATCTTCACATCTAGTCTGTCTCTGCCATCAGGGGACAGAGAGAGGCAGGATGAGGCACCTGGATGCATCCCTCTCTCCACCAAGTGTAGAGGGAGCCTCAGCAACTACCTTTTGGTCACCAAAATTTTGTCCATCTATTGTTATCAAACATGAATCCCAATCTATGCTGTCTCTATACTTTTTTCAAGGAGTCTTTATGAATATGTTGAATGACTTCCAGTTTACTAAACACAGGCAGTCTTCTACCCACCAGAAGTTCCTGTGATATGTTGACTTGCGATTTTACCAGATAGCTTTAGAGTTCACTGCACGATTACCTGGCCTGTAGTAAACAATACAGGAAAAACAAAAAATTCACCAGCACAATGAGTGCAGATTTAGACAAAACAGACTGAGTTCAAGCAATTTCAGTTGTATGCTCTCTCCCTTACACCACTGGTCCTTCTTTTTCTGCAAAGATGTAAGGTACCAAATAACAGATAATTTATAGCACTCTTTCCTGTGTTCTGTGATAGGCAAGCTGAAGGTACATTTCAACAGTAAGTAAAGAATAAAGCAGCGCTTAGAGATTATTAATGTCATATCTGTATCAATACATACTTAAAGAAACACTGAACTTAAGCAATGATTGCTTAATTTATGGTTGGTATATATTATAACTTGGGCCAAAAATAAGGGCCACCCAGGAGCAGTTGCTGGTGAGACATGCAGTGGTCTTTCCTCCCAGCAGGAGCGCCTGACATAAACATGTTAGTGCTCCACACACAGCATTTATTGTCAATCAAGTTACAGAGTTATTTAATGGTCTTTTTCCTTAACTTCAAAGAATTAAATGGGATAGGGCCAATTCGTCTCTGGAATCACCTCTCTCTCTCCCTACCACATCTGCTGTGCTCAAAGGGGGTCCCTTAGGCTGACAAAGCTCAGGTTTGAACTTGTCGCGCTCTAGGATGGTAAGACATTCCCAGTCATAGGTCGGTAATTATGGAACTTGCTTCTACATGAGATCAGACAGAGTGAACCTTCTTGCCATGACTTGGTTTATATTTGAGAAATTAAATTACTTAAAATCTCTCAAATAGCTGTAGAAATTTTGTGTTGTCGTAGTAAAAATACTCTAAAGGGCCTAAATAGAATCTAATAATGTCTCAGAATAAACTATGCTCCAGCAGATGTAACTGGAAGAACTGCGACTCCTTAACTGCACTGTGGCTGAAGACAAAGGCAATCTTGAATAACTCATCTACCCCTGCTGTAGCTAACACTCTGCCACGCTGCCTTGAAGCCTTGACAAGACTCACGAGCCAGAGGCTTTCAGCAGCAGAGACAAAAATCCCAAATGTTCTCAACTGAGAAAAAGTAGATCTGGGGCAAAATCTCAGCACAGCTCGAGTGACACACTGAACCGCTTATGCTTAAGATAGTCTAATGAAACGGGCTGAATTACAAAGAGTGCAATTCAATTTCTGACAGCCTCTGACACAGACAAGTCCCTGACAGTTCCCCATACAAAGACTTTTTAAAAATCTGTTCATACAGATAACTGTAATGAACCAACCTAGAGTGGAGGAAAAAGACAAGTTATGCATTCAGGGGCAAAAAGTGAAACATTATGTTATTACTGACAATGCAATAACGGGTGCCAAAGACAAGAGAGGGGTCACAAGAGAACAAGTTATCACTCTCAATACCCACCTCATTAGTAACTGAGAGAATTGACAGTGCAGAATCACAGTACTTCAGTGCATTGTTTTTCTGGCCAAGATCTTTATAACACTGAGAAGAAAAAAACATTTTGTTTCCAATCAGACCACTGTAAGAATACCAGAGTCTACAAATCATTATTTTTAAAAGAACATGGTTACCTTTGCCAAATACACATAATTGTATTTGGAATATCCTGGATGCATTTCTTCTGCCTAAATAATAAAAAAAAACAAGAAAGAAAACAGACATAAAACTTGTGTGATGAGATTTATGTGGTCTGCATAACATTTTTAGTAATGCACTAAGCTTCCTCCAACATCAGACTGAATCATCCCTACTGTGTGCACTGCAATCTGTTTACCACTTTAAAAAATCTCAAGAAAACAAAAAAACCCCAAAACTGAAACGCTAAACCAGGCACACAAGGTGCTGATATTGAACACATAAAAGTGTTCTGTACTGCTTCCTCTCCTCTGTCCGTAAGTGCTCTGTAAAGACATCAGATCATTCTGTAGAATATCTATTGGACTCATTCACTGACACAGTGGGTTGGAAGACACTGCTCTCTATAGATCATTAATATTTATTTCCTCATCAAAGAAATAAACAAGCAACCAACCATTCGCACACTGTGTAATGGGTAATGAACTGTATTCAACAACTTCGTAATTATTTTTCTTTCATAGACCCATGCCTTCTAACTCTGGGTTCACCTTTCTTTTCACACTACCATCTTCTGAAAAGTTCAGGTCATTAAAAAAGTTCAAGACTGTCTTCCTTTCAAAACACATCAAGGAAGCTTAAAAGATGAGTAAAAAACTTACCAATTATCTACTAACAAACAGCTTTTGGGAGAGAAAAAAACAGTAGTGAAATTTATAGTGGCTGCAATCCTTGGACCAAAACAATGCTGCTTTCACCATAATTATGTATTTTCAAACAACTGAAAAAGAAACCCAAACCGTTGTCTTTTAGACAGTAATTTAATTTTTGTTATAGAAGATGACTTAAAACCACAGTTACACTGCAGCGCACACCAACATCCCCTGAAGCTGAAGTGAACATTTCAAATTACTTCTACCACCTTTGGAGTTTGACCTTAAAGACAACATATCTGAAACTGGGAAGATGGTAGTGTACTGTATTGTCCAAATCCAGGAGATCATTCCACCTTTAAATACACTAAGAAAACAGAAAACAAGCACTTTTGATAGTGAAGAAAACACGCTTGTCTGATTCCTTTGAGAAACTGCCTGAAAGGAATTGTAATGATGGAAGTTTATGCTTTGAATTCAGTCAAGTGAAAAACTTGTATTTTTCAGCTCCAGAAGTAAAAATGATTCATATAAAAGATACTGAAAGACAGGTTTATTTTATTCATGTGGCGTTTTCTCATAACTGTGCATTCAAGTAGAATGCCCAGGGACATGGACCCATATGACAGAGCTTTCTTCTATACTTCACTACAACAGTAATTTCATCTCCACAAACAAGAAAGGTTTCTACTGAAATTCAATGAAAAGCGCATCAGATCAGAAAAACAGGAATGCCACAGTGTCAGGATTTTCCTTGCCTATGTTAATCCTCTTGCAGAACTGGGCAAATGATGGGTTATCACTATGATTAATTTGTTTCAATGGCATATAGATCCATCTCACATTAAATCCAATAACTATTAACCGTGGCAAGTCATTGAAGAATTCCCTAAAACTAAAGAAAGAGAAGGAAGATGCTAGCCACTCATCTCCAAACTATTTTTAAAATAAAAAAGAAAAAACATTTTAGTATTTAGAAGAGCCCTGGATTTATAGCTACTGGACATAATCTCTTGAGCAGACATCTTGACAACAGTCACATGTGTCAGCTGGGAAACAGTCACAGGAAACCCCTTGGCTACGATTTACCTTAAGGAAATTCTGCAGTGCTTCTTCTACTGTTGAAGTTGGTGGAGTCCCAAAGAGAGCAGCAGCTACTTTCTTTTCAATCCAAGACAACTGAGCTACCTGTAATTAAAAAAAAAAAAAAAAAAAAAAAACACTTTTCTGAAATTGCTATTTTTCCCCTCATCTGAAGAGAGAGAGAGGAGGTTGGAGACAGATAAAAGCAACGCGGAGCCGCATTTCTCATTAGCCGGCGCAGGTGTGCGCAGCCTTACCTGATCTGTCCTCGCACCAGTGGTCTGTTTTTTGTCCTGTTCATGTTTTAAATCCAAAAAAAATGAGCAACCTGTAATAAAAAAAAAAAAAAAAAAAAAAAAAAAGCCTTTATGGTTGCTTCTCAGTTTTGAAGTAAATACTGACCTGTGCCACTGTACTACGTATACAACCTATTTTGTAAAAGAATCTGTAAAGTAATACTGCTGATTTGCCCACTCAAAGCATAGTCTTTTGGGTTTTAGATTCTGTTAACAGGAAAATGCACACATTAAGAAATACATGACAAAACACCACCATCACTGGTATAAGATTATTCCAATGTACAAAGCTTAAAGTACAGTTTATGTCTTACAAGATCTTGCCATTTTTTAAAACCTAAGGCTAGTAATAGTGCTTTAAACCTGTTAAGGTTTTCATGAGACAGACATCTTAGCATGATAGTCCATGCACTTGACTACTTTTCAATACTATGAAAAACTGTAGCTACAGTCAAAATGTGAGTGCTTCTGGTGCTTGTAAAACAAGTTCATTTATTACACATAACCTGGTGACAACCACCGTTAAGAAACAGGCTTCATTTTTATCTCTTCAAATCTGACAAATAACACCTTCCAAAGACTTTCTCATTTTAGGAAGATGGGGTAATATAAAAGGATTTTAGGGAGCTGTCCTGTTGCCACACAAAGTACATGAATTCTTCCCTTGCATATACTGACACCTGACAGAAACTGCTCTGGTTAGTGCCATAAAGTATTTGGCTCCACCACCCAATCTGGCAAAACACACCTCAAATCTCCAACGAAAGGTGGAGCTGCTAAGAAATGCGATGTGGGACTGGAGCCTGTTTAAATGGAGAAGTGAAGCCACCCTCCTTTGGACACTTCTACTACATCTGTATAGAAGAGTCAGGACTTTATTCCTTCACACCAGTATTCGAACCACAGCACTGATGGCTCTCGTCACAGAGTACACCTGAGTCTAAAAATCGTAAAAACAAGGTTCTGTGCTTTCCTAGCAACTTCTGGCCTGATCTATGCAGAGGCAACACAGAGAAGAGATACACACAGGCAAAGACAGACAGCCTCTCATCAGAGACCTGGAGGTGGAATACAAGTCATATAGGGACATCTCTTTTTTAGAGGGAGCTGCAATTCAAATAACAGAGTCAAGTTTTGAACTCAAGTCTGTCCTACTGCTGTAAAATTGGTTTTGGATAACTTTAGATTAGATCCCTGGGGTTGTTGCTGCTCCCCCCACCTTCTCTAGCTAAATCCAGCAATTAGTCGGTGGATGTCAGTTAACTATGGTAAAATCTAAGAATCCATCCATACGTAACTATTCAGCCATCAACCAGAATGCTTCTCTTTTGAACACACATCAAGCTCTATGTATTTCTTCTTGCAAACTGCCCTAAAAATACCATTACAAAGAGTGCAAATACAGGCCAGCACGCATCAGGAAAATGCACAGGATGATGTTTTCTCATCTGGCCCCAGTGACTCTAGCTATTTAAGGGCAACGCTGCTTGGACACAGAAGGCATCCTTGTCAAGTCCTGCCGATTGTTCAGCAGAGTCCAATGCCTTATTTGTTAAGTGCCATCAGTAAGGCACAAAACCACTAAAAATTATATTCCAGACAGAACAAATACTAAGAAAATAAAGCTTTTTTTCATTCTTTCTCTCTCTCACATACCCCACTCTTGAAGTCTCTTGCAAGGGAATAAATGTTTTTTTTTCACAAAAACTCTCCAGCAACCCCAGAGTTCTTATTCATTGAAGCAACAAGCTGTTTTCTCTCTCCCCACTGCAGCACTTTCATACTGCCTTACAAACTGTAGCATGGTGGGTACAACTTCAAATTGTAGGTATGTATATAATTCCTTCACACACTTCATTCCCGTACCTGTTCTCTAGTTTCTGAGACCTATGCAGAGACAGATTAAAAGGATTTTTGCATTGTCTTCTTCACATCATCCTACTGCTGCAGCGTTCTTTATTCTTTTTGAAGGGTAAGGGTCTTTATGTCTATAGAAAGGTCTATATTTCTAGATCCATCACATCAAGACAGAGGTAGCTTACAGAGGGAAGAAGAGGGGGGAAAAATTAAAGGGAATGTATACGTTACACTGTTCTCTGCAAGACCGCACAACACCCTGGAGATACACATCCACTGCACAGACACCATTACCACATACCTCTCTGCTGTTATGCAATAGGGAGGAAACAAAATTGCAATTTTTCCACGTGGAGTTATAATTACCTATTAAAAACACAAGTCCTTCCTGGCAGTTGTTTTATTTTCTTAAAAGATTTAATCAGAACTGATTTACTGAGGTTTTAGTCCTTATTTTTTCTGGCTTGGGTGCTGCTTTGCACTATTCCAACTGAAAAAAGCCCAAACATATATGCACTTGGCCATTTTTATATTACTAATCCCACTAATCTGAAGCAATGTTTAAAACTGAAATGCACTTAGGCACAACAGTGAGTTTTCTTTAATGTGCACTGGCTCCAACATTATACGTTGTGACTATTACACAGATAGCCTTAGAGCTGGGTAATGTTTTGAGCAGTCAGATTTAGATGCCAGTGGCTGGAGGAACTGCAGCTAACTCTAGCCATCCATAAGCGAAGTGCCAAGGGTTAGGGTTAGAGCGCAAGTTGTCCAGGTTCCTTGCATGGTCAATACAGAGGGAGACATTTCCATTAGGCATTTCCTTTTCACCTACATTAACCTGGGGTGAACACTCCTCTCTTTCTCTTATTTCTTTCCTTCAACTACAGAAGGAGCACAATCACAGCCTGTGGATGGCCAAAGACAGGTGAAGTGAATCCCATCACAACAGCTTAACCATGCCCCACCTGAGTCAGTCTGCACCCCTCTATGACTGAAGTGGGACAAATGGAAAAGACCTGTTTTATGCAAGACACAAAATTGTGTCCTGGAGCAATAATTATGAACAGGAAATTATACCCTTCCCCTAAACACATACCAGCACAGTCTTTAATTTGAAATAACTTTATTAAGTAAATCTTATGCCACGTTCAGTGAAACGGAAACATCATTCCTACTATACCAAGCAACTTTATTAAGCATTCTCCATGTGTGAGCAAGCACGGACCACAGAAACCCTGGTGTAGCATGCTCTAGTGTAGTGTCAATTTGATGTCTACAGTCAAAGTTATTCCAAATAGTGCAAAGCATATCTGGAGGTCAATCCAAAATGAAGTACAAAGAGACTGTAACTGTCATGAGCTTCAGCAGAACCATGATTTCACTTAATGCATGTTCCAAGAACAGTACGGGACAGCAGAAAGAAATAAATAAAACAGCTACTGCAGCAAGTAACAGCAGCAACAAAATTAAAGAATGAAGATTACCCTTGCCCTGTAGATGATCTCAAACCTTAAGTGAGTTTTGGTTTTTTAGGTCTCCCAAGCCCTGATGTTGGTCCCTACAACAACCTGAAAATTCACAAGGGTGCTGCAAGGAACACTGTGTTTCCAGGTCACTCAAGGAACATCACTCCCCAGCTGCTGTACATGAGCAGAGCTAGTTCCCCAGAGCACACAAAGGAACTGGGTCAATTTGTTCCCTGATGCAACCCAAACAGATATTGGGGTACACCAGAGATTAATCCAACACATGCCATGTAATCTGCAAAAAAAAAAAATAATCCCAAGAGATCTAATTTCGCTCAGGAGCGAAAAACAAGGGCCTGAGGAACCATCAGCCAACTCCTGAACTTGCTTAGGGCTGGAGGGGAGTGGGTCACCATGACAGCCTGGCCTCTGCCACAGGTACTTTTCAGTATCCCAAAGCAGAGATGTTTGTCTCAAACAATGTCTCCTAAAGATCTGTCAAACAGCAAGCTCTCATCCATTTATTCTACCCAAATCTCTACCAATACCCGAGACAGAAAAAAGCCACCCTCAGAGTTAAATTGCAGCCGACTATAAAGTTCATACCCAGCACGCTTCTATCAGGCCTCTTGTTCCTCCAAAGACCAAGGCAGAAAATGTGGTTCTCACCAAAATACTGGGGAAAGGGGTTTCCTAACATCCCTTGTTCTCAGCCTAGGATAAGCAAAAATCACATATGAACTGACGCACTGGCTGAAGTTTGTTTTTTTTGGTTTTGATGAGATGCAAACCCTGCTCATTGACAGCTCTTTTCAAATTCCAGGATGTTAGTACCAAGGAAACTAACCCACTTGGATTGAAAATTCAGCCAGGATTGACTTGCAGCCTTAAAGGATTTCCTCCTCTGATGTTTCCTTGCTAAGAGCTCGCTGAAGACAGATCAAACAATTGTCTTCCATAAAGGAAAATCATCTCATTGATTCAGCTTCAGTAAAATATTAATGCCACCTACTTAAATATCCCCAGAGAGTTTTTCTTTTTGATTACAATATATTAATGTAAAATTATATTAGATAGTTTTGCAATGTTTTGACTTCTGGAAGAGATTAAGTAACTGGACAGCAGTTTTAAAATACTGGCTTCCAACACAAATACTCTCTCTCTTGCCAGCTGAGGCACCACGACAGTCTGCACAGGCATTTAGGCATTTATCCAACTTGAATTCCCTGGGCTTTTCACTTTCCAGTAAGGGGAGCAGACTTACAGAGCACATAGACAGAGGAACTGGGCCAATTTGTTCCCTGATGCAACCCAAACAGATACTGGGGTACACCAGAGATTAATCCAACACGTGGCATGTAATCTGCAAAAAGAAAATACCAAAAGATCCGATTTTTAACACCCCACCAGCATTTACCAGAAGCTCTGATCCAGTTTCACAGGTACACGTTAACTGTTCTGTGTCAGTCCTGTAGTGGCAAGTAGCCAAAGTCTTAACTAGATACTACTCCATTTTAAAAGCTATTATAAACATTAAAACATGAAATCAACCCACAAACACAACAATTCCCTGCTCATTGCATGGGGCTTGGACTAATGACCTTTAAAGGTCCCTTCCAACACAAACCATTGTATGACTCTATGATTATAAAGGATTATCAGATAATTGCTCCCAAAACTAAGGAAAGAAAACCAATTCCTATACACCATCCACCATAGATAATTTCACTTCCAATAAAAATTTCTTGCTGAGCAAAGTAGTTTTCACTTTCCCTTAACAAAAACAAAGCCGAAACTTGAAAGGCTTTGAACACTACACTTTTAAAAAGTCATATGAACCAACCCAAGTATATATTTAAAACATTAAACCTTCTCTAAAATATACTTACTTAATAAAACCTGTTTTTGTCACAGAAGGCTAAGAAAAAGTTTCATCCACCACCAAAGACATTTTAAATGAAAATTATTTCACTGCAGTTATTTTTCTTTGGAATAGTAACATCTCTTTTACATACTAAACACTAGTTTACTTTGCTTACTAGGTATTTTAAAGTATCTTCACTACAATTATATGGCAATCATATTTTCCTAACATTATCACTAAAGCTACCCTGGAAAAAACTACCACTACGTAGAAGTTCATATCAGCTCTGGAAAAAGGAATATTGAAATAACATTTGGTAGGATTCCGCAATAATCCATTACTAATGGTGTTCAATTATGTTCACTCAATGCATAAATAAATACGGGGTTTTTTTCCCTGTTGTCACCTCTACAAAACAAAACAAAAAGCATTAGAGCTATACGTGACTTCTTGTATACACAGCAGGTCTCAGAGGCAAAATTTTGCTCATCATGACATCTATGAAATGATTATTGAAAATCTCACCCAACTGATTGTGATATCCGAAGGCATTTTCTAGCAAAGCTGAGATGATACAACAGAACAGAATCTACCTCTTTTGTATAGCTCTACTGGCTTTACAATGGTAAGAGAAATAAGAAACAGCAAAAATTGATTTTTAAACAAGGTGGCACACAACTGCCACTGGCTCTACATCAGAGACAAACCCTCAGTGCTGCGAGGCAGTGAAAATTCAGCTCATCCTTCCTACTGGAAGGTGCTGTGACACTTTGCATCAGCTTCAGATCTGGCCCAGCGAGAATAATTGCTGAGTAAGAAATCTGGCACTGCCGTGCCACTGCTCTTCACAAAGGACTGTGTTACACAGAGGAAGGTGAGAAATGGCAGGGGCAGCCAAGTCCTGGCAAAACTCCACAAATCAAATAGCTTTACCACTACAGCATGCAGTCTCTGGATACAGATTTCAGCCTTCAGTAAATCTTCTCCATTTGTCTCCAGCATACTTTTTCCCTAAAAGTCTGTTCAACTGACTTGTCATTTGTGAAAATGAACTGGATCCCAGAGTTACAATACTTGAAGCACCCCCTTTTCAGTGCTAGAAGATAGTAATAATATCCCCCAATATTAAACAGGGAGGGAATACGAAATGTCTGACTATGCTAGGAAGGCTTAAGCACATCAGCTTTCCCAAGAGCGTTAATAATGTCCAAAAATTATCAAACACTAGTTATCTTTTTTAAACTACACTGCTTCAGTAAAAGAATATATGACTAAAACCAGACAATAATACCCCAGAAGCAACACTTACAAACAAATATTGTGGTCAATCCTAACTTGACGCCAAAGTCAGCGAGGCTACATGTGAAAACTAACCTTCTTCCCTCAGTCATCCCTTTTTCTTCTTTAATTTCCTCACATTGGACAACACAGCCTTCCAGCCTCAACTGCAGCTAGACTAAACAGAAAAAACAGAGGGTCTAAGAGGAGCGTTATCACTCCATATACAGGTATCAGTACAGAGAAAGAGTAATAAATGTACTTTTCGAGCACCCTATCATAATCTCTACCCTGAAGAAGTATTTGGAATCAATGCCAGAGCCATCAGTCTATTTTTGGGGTCATTAGCACAGCATGAAACACCACAGTCTGCAGAATAGGACCAAGGAATTTGCCACACCTTCCACAAGATCCTATGATTAGCTACATGACATGCATGGCCAAAACCTGTATTAGTGAACTAGGACAGAAACATACCCATACAGACTGCTAAAACTAGTGAGGATATCACCAATTTCACTTGGCCAGGGTTAAGATCTAGCTTCCATAGTAGAGGCTCAAAACTAATGTTCCCAAATGATGGCCTCATCCTGATGCTGAAAGTGTGCAAATAACAGAAAGTTTTAGGAGCTGACAGCCCCAGCAGTTTTAAAACAAAATGTTATTCCACCCTATACTTGCATTTCTTTGTACTATGAAAATCCATTCTAAGTGTTTCATGTTATTATTTTGTCATGACAGTCACAGAAGGCAAGAATTATTTACACACAAAAAAAAAAGAAGAAAAAGAGAAGTCAATCCTTAGGTATTTCAGTGGCTACATCTGTTTAGGTGGATTGTTTCACTTAATAAAAAGCAGGTCAGGTCACACCCTTAAATAAAGGCTAATCTGCGGCTTTAATGTTCAGTAAGGAAGTTCTGCACAGATGGTGCAAGTGTGGAACATGAGTTTGTAATGACACAGTGCAACAAATCACATGTATCACTCAGCCAGGAAGTGGTGACTGGCACTAAAATGAAACGAATGAAGAAACAGTGCAGTAAGAACAAAGTGAGGTATACTGAGATTACACATAAAGTTTCCAAAAGTGATAGCTCGAGTGAGAAATAAACCATGAAAAACATCTTTGAGTGTTTGACTTAAATGGAAGCTGCAGTCAGCAGCTGGACACAGCATGGTATAAAAGTGCTTAAGGAGTCACTGGTGAGAGAGATGCTCTTCAAAGGCAGGACAGCAAGCGCACTATAGGACAATCTTCAGCAACTCACTTTTGCATAGCTAATGCTGATATTCAAGAATACAGTGTGATGAAAAGCAAAATTAAAAGCTGTCTGAAAAAGTTGGTGTCGTTCCTTATTCAAATCAACTGAAAAAAAAATGGAGTTGCTGAAAGTTTTTCAAAAGTTTAGATATATGATCTGAAAAAACTACTGAAAAGATTGCTTTGCATTAAGTCTTATTGCAGATAAAGACAAAAGTCAAAGGCTGCAATGTACCACAGCAACCTCTTCTTTCCAGTTTGCAGGCACTTCGTAGTGACTAGCATTGGTAAGTAACTGGAGGAAAAAGGCAGGGCTGGAATTCACCGTGCATTAGCAGTTACTAGTCTGAGAAATCTCCCAGTGATCTTTTACAGCATGGGCTGTGCAAGAACATTTTCTTCTGATGAAAGATTCCTCACAGCACTAAAGATGAAGTAATAAGGTTAGCCACCTGAGCCATCAAAGATGAGGGCTTAAAAATAAGACAACTCTCATATTATAAGCACAGGCGTCATTTTTAAAAAAAAAAACACCAACCCAAACCAACAAACTTAATCAACAACTAAACTTCTAGACCAATTATTTTAATTTCTCATATATGAGTACTTACCACTATGTCATTAACACAATATTTAAAAACACTTCATAACACAAATTCTATCTCTTGCAAAACTTTCTGGTGAATTATAGATTTTTCTGCCTGCACCTTTGTTGTGACATTCTCTTGGAATTTACCAAGCTGGTATGGTGGCCTTGCTGCCACAGACATAATCCTGCAGCACGTAAGTGCCTTTATTCCCCATCCACAATTGAAGTTAACATTACCAAAAGGCTACGTTATCAGCCCAAGGTCACCCAGAAAGTTTGTGGCAGGACAAAGAACTGAAATCAACAGGTCACCTTTTCTCCCTTCCAAATATCAGTTACCTTTTTATTCAAATAACCAAAAAAGAAACCTGAACACAACAATGAGGGACATATAAGCACAGCTTACTTAATGTACATGACAAAAATGATCAACAGTTAACATCACACATGTGGAAGTTAATTCAGGGAATGTAAATATACTGCTTCATTTAGCTCAAAACATCTGCTTCAATAAACATGTACTTGAAGTTCCACTATTTCATTTCAAATGCATTATCATTTTTCAGTATGCTCAATTCATATATTAGATAAAAAAACAACTTACTGAATAGCACCATCGTCCGTTTAGGTAATATAAAAAAGGATCTTGAGGCTTAAGTTCAATTGCTTTGTCTAGGTGCTCCTATTAGAAAGAAAATCAGCATCACTTTAGATTTTTTTTGGCATGTGTGTTTACATTCTAAGAAGTTTGCTGCAAATCATAAATAAATTCAAAAATTTTCTTCTGCTGCAATTCTTTTCTAACAATCTAAACATATTTTAACTAGCAAACCCCTTCCTCGTGGAGGGAAACCACAAGCAAAATTATTTAGCAACTTTGGACACACTGTAAGAAGGCATGCTGTATTTAGAACGTGGGTAAGCAGCTCTGAAGTTCAACAAAATTACTCAAGAACTTTTGTCTTAAAAAGAAAACAACTTCAATTAAATTCATTTTATTTACAGTATTAGGAAACTGTCACGCACCAGATCAGTGAGAAAGCAACCGCTCTCTTTGATAAATCTTACATCCCAGCACCCATCACTGAGGCATAGTCTCTTCCACCTTGGAAGGTGACTGCCCAACGAAATGGTGCACGACACATATAATGTGATATCAGAAAATAAAATGCTTCTGTTTAGAGTGAAATCATTAAACCTAGAAAGTCTCTAATGAGATGCTTCTTTCAAAACCATTTCCATTACAGGTCATGACTATCTTTCTTTCTCTCTTTAATTTACTAAAGAAAGCTCTAATTTCTCAACCTGAGTTTGAAGAAAAAAGAAATATGTTATTTTACTCCTAGCTACCATTTGACTCTCAAAATAAATTTCAATTCCAAGGTTTCTTTTTTTTTTCCCCCCACATACCTCTGGTTTTCTAATTAAACCGGTAACTAAAATATGTGAATTATACAGATCTAAGAGCCTATTATTCTATTCTTTACTCCACAAACTATTCTGACAGGAGCTATGTTTTCATGCTACTATTTTCCCAAATCCTTAACATTCCCAAATGATTCACATGGATTTCAGTAATTACTTGTAAAGAGGAAAACCTCCCTGAAACGGCTACTGGTAACTCCTTAAACAACTGCAGCACTTGTGGCATTTGTTGTTCTCCCTTCGTTCCCAGCTCGTCTCGGTGCTTGGGGCTTAGCTCAGATGTAATTAATGCTCTCTCACAGGAGAGCTCCACGACATTCCAGCAGAGTGGATGTGACACATGGACACGATGTGACAAGGACCCATCCCGGGCATTCCCCGGGAAGTGGAACACATCTGCTGCCTCTCACTGACAACCAGAAAGGGGGGACACCGGCTTGGGGGGCAAGGGATGGAAAGCACCTAAGCAGTGCTGAGGACAAGCAGGGGGAGAGCAGCACACATAACACAAAGTGGTAACTCTAAAAAATGTAATTATCTGCAAAGACAGTGTTAAAACAAATATTACTTCTTAAGGGTGGCATGAAGGCTGACTGCAGAACTGTGTTAGTTCATTGCTTAACTTTTCATATGTTTTTATTTTCTAAATAAAATTGTTACTCCCTTTTCCTCCCCCCCTTGACTACAAAATAAAATAAAAATGTTAATGCTGTGCCCAAAATCCTACCTTAATTCTTGTATTTTCTAAGCATATAATCTAACTTTTTCACTTTAACATCAGCACCAAAGTAGACCCGTGAGGCTGAATTACTGTGCTGGAAAAATCTGTCTGTGACACTACATAAGGAAATAATTTAAAGGAATAGCTTTAAAAAACCCCAAACCCTACAAAAACATACCTTAAAGAGATAACCATTCCTGATTTTGTTTTGTACACTTTCAAACTGAGACATATAGCCACACATAATTGCAAACCTGAGAGGGGAAAAGAAAAACACACACACATACTTTTCATGATTTAAATAAACCTTTGAATCAAATTACAAAATATTTCAGTATCTAATTCACAGATTAACACCTGCTTTTCTTCCATCTCGATGGCTGGATAGAAGTTTGGCATGAGCTGTATATATTCAGGAGCAGACAAAAAACAAACCAAAAGAACAATGGAAACAAGAAGTCACACTGTTTGGGCTGTCAGGGAAGTGGAAAAAAAAAATTTCTACCATTTAGTTCAGAGTGTGACATTTCCAGAGCAGCTCCAGCATTGACAGCAGTTTAACTGGGCACAGTGCTCTGCGTTGCAATGCCCTGGGAATGTCAACACCATCAACCCTGGTACCCCACCCAGGAAGGCAGGTCCCTGGGGTCTGCTCAGCAGGAAGCTGTGCAGAAATCAAAAATCACTCACTGTCGTCTTCTACCCCTCTCAAGTACCGCGGTGTACTCCTGCTTTTAATATCTTTAAATCTTTATCTTTTAATATCTTTAAAAGTATTTCAAAACATACACACACATTCTGCTCTAACAGGATTGCTACTCCTATTGCTGGCTGCCTATTGCTAAGATTATTACTGCTATTATTATAAATCGGGGACACTGACAGAGAGAAAAGAAATGTGAGATTTACTTAAAATGTGTATTGCTAAGCAAGCATAGCTGAGAATATATTCAGAGGTCCCTAAAGATAAAGGTTTAGGTTCCCTAAGTAAAACTATTGTCTTACTGACACTCCATCTAAACTTCTATTGCTTTTTCTTTATCACTTCAACAGCTATAGAGCCTACTGTGCATAAGGAATTTCTTGAGCATGTCAATTGTACTTCCCTTGGATCTATTTTCATTGGTATTAAGACAACTTTGCATTTCTCTATGAAATTTAACAGAACCGCCAAAGATATATTTAAGCAGCATAAACTAATACAGATGATTTCTCTATATTTTTCCAAATTTTACTTTTGCATTAAACATTTTGCAATGCAATATCAAATTAAAACAAAAATCAATCCCAAAAGAAGGAAATCAAGCCGATAGGAAAACAAAAGAGTTATGCAAGAAACTGATGGAGTTAATTATGGTAACAGACCTGCGATCTGTATGGCACAACACAGTTTCGAAGCTTTACTAAACCTCAACTATCTTGAATTTCTTTATGTAATGTAATTATTCAAGCTCCAGTGAATCCTCATTAAAATGTCACTGCCAACATAACTAAATAAATTACTGCATTGCTCACGGTTACGTCTAATGGTTTTGAGTTAGAAATACTGATGCTACAGGTTATTGCATTTTTAGTTGGTAGTGTTCCCAGGTAAGGCATGTGAGCCAGCACACCAACAGTAGTCTGATCCAGCAGGAGCTCCAGACGGGCTGTCAAACACCATTGAGCAGGACGTATGTTGTGACCACTGTGCACTGAACAAAATCCGGCTCACGGCACCGCTACTTCTGACAGTTAAAGCTGCATTTCATATGGGAACCAGCTCAAACAGAGGGAAAAATCAAGGGGCGGGGGTCAGGAAAGTTCAGGTATTTAGAAAGAGGGGGAAGGTACCGAAAACTTTATTAGGCTTAAGTAACTCAGGCAACGTTTCCCCTATTCCCTTCACTCATTAAGTGCTAATCAGATAAACTCAGCATACCATAGCTAAACGGATTGCTGCTACAAAAGAAAACAATGAAAAGCGAACAAGCTAATCCAGCATCTTGCAGTATTTCCCTGTCTGTGCGTGACAAGAAAGAGGGCCTTAGTTTAAATCAGTTCAAAGAAAAACTTCTACTTAAAGCTCAAATCTCTGAGGAAGAAAATCCCAGTACAATTTTCAAAAAATGAAAAATAAGCTAACCCATTAACTTTAAATACTTTTTTTTTTCAAGGAAAAAATAATAATGTCTTTCATGTATTAGCCTCCTTTTCCTTTTTTTTTTCTTCTCTTTGATACTTTTGAAATGGGCTAGGCTGGCAATTGGCATAAATCAATGGTTTAATTTTTGGAGTTTTATGGCATTTCAGATGTTAACTTTGTTTCTAGAAAAAATAAAAAGGTGGGGTTTTCGCGAAAATAATTTTTAGGTGTTTTAATTAATTCTCAAAGAGCTTAAAAAGCAAAAGCAAACTTTATTTTCACTCATGCAAAGGGTAACGGACCCGCCGCCTCCCTCCCCGCGCCACCTGCCCCACCTGCCGGTGACACGGGGACACTGCAGGCAGCCGCAGCCCCGGGCCTTCCACCGCCACCTCGGGGGGCTGAAGGAGGATGGAGCCGGACTCTTTTCAGTGGTTCCCAGCGACAGGACGAGGGGCAACGGGCACAGGCTGGAACATGGGGAGTTCCACTCAAAAATAAGGAAGAACTTCTTTAGGGTGAGGGTGACAGAGCCCTGGAACAGGCTGCCCAGGGCGGTCGTGGAGTCCCCTTCTCTGGAGATTTTCAAGACCTGCCTGGATGCAGTCCTGAGTGATGTGCTCTGGGCAACCCTGCTTTGGCACAGGAGCTGGACTAGATGATCTCTAGAGGTCCCTTCCAACTCTGACAATTCCGTGATTCTGTGACTTTGTGTGCTGTTATAAAAATTATGGAGGGGAAATAATTAAACTATTATCACACAATAATGTGCAAATATCCTATGAAATGCATGGAAGGTACGTATCTTTTGTTAGAACAAGAAATAGTGGTTTTTCTTACAACCACTGCCTGCCTGAATGGCCTTCAAACACCGAGATTAGAATACCTTCACAGAGAGAAACGAAGAGAAAATTGTTCCAGCAAAGTGCTGCAAGGAAGTGACCCAACTGCTGAGCTAATGCTGCTCTTGGATAATGTAAAACACCAGTCACAGACGTGTTCATCTCAATAAACGAACGATCATAACCTCATGGAGACACAAACAGTACTTCAGTCAACATGCCAGGTGCAAGAAAAGATACTGAGAACACTGTAGAAGCATAGAGATTAATCATTCACAATTGATATTCCTTATCTAAGCACAAACCCAAGCAAATTAACTCAGTAATAAGTAAGTACCACGTCCCTTTGCTACAGATGTCACTGAAACTCAGACTTGCAAGAACTGGTAGTTGTCAGCGATGGATGCCAAGTGCCTACATGGTCCTCACATAGAGGGGTCCAGATCAAGGTGAATTAACATCTTCCTTTCTCCCGTTCCAGCATTTCTATACATACACTGACAAGATAGAACTGTAAGGTGCATACCTTGCCTGCTGCAAAAGGTAGAACAGCAGGTTGATCCAACCAGTTTATCAAGCATGTTTGCAAGCAACTTAAATTTTCATACCAAAAATAGAGAGAGATGCTATCCCACACTTAGACTCTGGCAACCACAGCTTATCCATTATGAGATGGATATACAAAAAAGATTTAAAGCTTCAAATCGAGATTAAGCCACATTAGGGCACTCAGATACAGCAAGTTTTACCTTTTCCCTGATAAATTTCACATGGCCAAAATCAGAAATAACATGCATCTTCCCAGGCTTGTTTCTCACTCTTCTATATCCCCTTCTACACATTCCAACTCCACCAAAACCCCTCTTATTTAACACAGACTTTGGAAATGTGTGGGTACAGGGCTTACATTCAGCAGTCTAGGTCTCTCTTTCAGCAGTCTAGTGTTAACAGGATAGTTTTTCTTAACTGTAATTGATATGACTTTGTGAATGGAAGGAGAGTTTGTGGTATTTACTAATACCAAAGAACTTAATTCACACCTATTTTTCACTCCCTCTTCTTCACTCAAGACATGCAAGGTAATATGAGCACCAGCTAATGAGCGGGTAACACGAGAGGCCGACTGAAAGGGCATTTCCATGCCAGTTCTAATTGCATTCTTGGGTCTCCCCATCTCTGCACAGCTCCGAGTCCTGTGCATCCCATCATATTTCTTTGCCATTGACTCCCTCACTCACCAGTTTCATGCACTTACATATTCTGACAGTCTCTGCAACGCAGCCAGACCCTCAGGCTTTCTTTTTAATCTGACTTCAATGAGATATAAAGTCCTACGCAGGGAGATTTTGCACCTTATATTCCTGTTTATGACTCTCTCACAGAGATCATAGTTTTGCACACTTAAAATTGTATTGCTTTCCTACCATGATGTGTCTATATAAATGCATCTCATATTAAGTTTCCATAGAAAAAGTGAAGTATCAGTTTGGTATCACCTTCCTCATGGCAGTGAGGGTATGGAAGCAGCGGCTAAGAATGTGAAAGACTGCCAATGTACAAAGCAAAATGCACCAAGGTGCAAAGTGAAGCCTTTAGATGGTTTTTTGTTCATGTTTTTTTTTTCCTGTTTGTTCTTTCTTTTTGTTCTTTCTTTTTTTTGTTCTTTTTGGAATACAACTTAGTCTACATTGTAGAAATTGGCAGAAATATAGTTTTTATATTAAAAATTTACCAGAGCACTGAAGCTGAGTTCCAGCGAAACATCAGATGTAGCACACATTTGTGTAGGTGAGGCTTGCAAAAGCACAGAAAACAGACCCGTATTTGGGGTAAAAAAAAGTCCACAAAAGTAAGGACATTAAAGAATTCTGGATTAATACATTATTGCAACACATACAATATACCAAAACAAGAAAAATTGCTGATGTTAATGCATATTCACACAAGTTCATGCGTAGAACATGTGGATGCCATGTCTGCATATCTGAGGCTCCACAACCTGCAACTGTGTTGAATTTCTGTCTCCCAGAAATTTAACTTTTATTTTTATAACAGACATTTTCAGTCATTATAGCTGCAAAAAACAACCTTGAAGAAATTAGCAGGATGTAGTCTTCACAAATGCGGAAAGAAAGTGAAACAGCTTTCAGAGATGGCAGCACACCACCACCACAACAAAACAACTCTCCTCTACAGCACCGTACCAGGGATCACTAGGCTGCCAGTGTTGTTTCCTCTGTGACCATTCTGACAAAAAGCTTGCAGTAAATAGGCTTTCTCTCATTGC